CTGCCCTCTCAACCACCATTTGAGCTGCCCCTTTTGAAAGAGAATTCTGTATCTTCAAATAAGAACATATAAAAAAAATGATAGATCTACTCGAGGGAGTACACTTATGGAACTACAGGTAATTTGGTTTGACAGGAGCATAGGCTGAGCATGGGTGATGAGGCCATTGGGTTGGAAGCCGTAACATTTGTGTTGGCCTCACATATAAAGGAACCAGTATGTGGGTAGTATGGACAGGACCAAAACCATCTTCAATAGTCCTGGCAATTTCATTGTATTTGAGATGTGACTATATCGTCATGGAATAGACTTTATTTTAACATATATATTACATAAGCATGTTCCCTTTACATAGTCATCTTGGGAAGCCCTCCTTTTATTTCCACTGAGTTCTCCACTGCTTAGAGTATGTTGGGAGTGTCTCTTCTATAATATCTTCAGAGCAAATCACAGTGAAAATCTTATCATCTTATGATCATGCCTCGCTTTTGTCTCAAATGTATTTCCTGGTTCAATCACCCATCCAATTCACTGGTCTTGGCTTTGAATAAGTTATGCCTCTTTGCCAAAATAATATCCACTCTCAAATCCGTTTTCAAAAAACAGCTCTGAATTTCTGTATAGCAATGATTTTGACTTTACTATTTGCTTAAAAATTATCTGGGGAGTTGATTAAATTAGCACATTCATTATATCCTTACCCTCAATAGTTTTGGCTTATTTGATCTGAGATGGGCAACAGCAATCTGCATTCTTTAACAAGCTTCCTGAAGTTTCTGTTTTGAATGACCAGACTTTGAGAAGTACAGCTGTAAGAATATTTACAAGAAAGAGTAGTGTATCTTCAGGAAGTTCCAATGGAGAAATTCCAAAAAATGTCCTGATCAGCAGGGTTCTCAGTGTCATGCATTGTGCTTACCTTGGGAGACTATTGTCTTGTGAATGATGCATATTTAGAATAAAATATTATATTTTTAAAAGGAATCAGCCACCATTCTGCTTGGCCAGTGGATTCACATACACTTAACCCACCAGTGCCTGGGAGAGGACCCACATCATGTGTTTGCTCACCCAGGGAGCCCCTACTCGGGGATGTGCTTCAGTAAAGACAGGTGTTCCCTTCTGAAACAGCTCCTAAGGGCCCAGTACTAGAGGATCTAGAAATTTGTCTACAGACTATGACTTCATTCTTTCTTTTTCTTGAAAAGAATAGTGAGTCACCCTTCTCTAAGGGCAGGTCCCTGTCCCTTCTTAGACTTGAAACATTAAATCCCAAGAGCAGGCACGGCAGACCTGACAACTGTCCCTCCTATTCACAATGGCAGGTTCACCTGAGGGGTCCGCTGGCTTCAGCGGCTGCCCTGCGATGATCACCATGGCAGGAAGCTCCAGAACCAACTTTTGATGATGTCATGTTATAGTTTTCATCCCTTCCTGAATCCATGATTCCACCTAGATTAGTCCTCTGGTTCAAATCAGTTGTCTGATTTGAACAAATAAAATATTCAGTGAAAATGGAAGAAGCATTTTCTCCTTGCATTTCTGAGTTGCCTTATCAACTATCCTCTTTCTCATTCACACTTGCCGACAAGAAACTCATACAATTAGAAACCGAAATTAAGAGCTGTGACTCTCTTAGTAAAACAAATTCAGATTTCCATTGGATGCTCACACAGAGCCTGAGGAGTGAGTCAGGCTTCTTTAAGGGCAGGCCCCTGGTTCTCAGGAGCCCTAATCCTCAACCAGCTGGGTTTTGTCTGGATCTGAGGATCCAACCCAAAGAAATGTGGATGTTCCATGATTTTTTTGCGGGTTATTTAACTTCAATATTAAGTTCCTGACAGTCTTAAAGTTTAGTGAAGATTAGAAAGAGGGACTATGTGTAGACCTCTGTGAGCAAAAAGTTTAGAGAAAAGAAGTGTTGTTTTTTTTTTTTTTATCCCAGCCATCATCTCTCTCTCTCTCTCTCTCTTGAACATTAACAAGAAGAGCTATATTTTACTCAGAAGCTATAGAGACAACAAAGAGAAGAGACATTGAATCAGATTAGTATCCAAACAACCCCCAGCCAGAAGAAGCGGGGATTAGACGCCCAAACACATCCTCTGTCCTCACGGTCTCACTTCTGTCTTTCCTCTCCTCCTTGTAAGGCTGCCAGATTCAGAAGCAAAAAAGTGAGAGAGAAATAAAACCAGAATACCTATTTAAATTTCAATTTCAGATAAACCAAGAACACTATTTTAGTATATGTCTTATGCAATACTTGAGACCTAGACCATGGTCATATTCCATGTGCAACCCCCCACCCCCAATTCCGAGCTCTTGTTTTATTTTCTAGTGGTTTTCACACGGAGAGGATTTGTCCCTCTATGCATCAGACTCCTTTGGGCAGGATCTTATTTGTTAGCCCTCAAGGCATCATAAATATTGACCTCTCTACATGGGGGCCTATGTTAGATTCCCTCCTGCTGCAAGCACAGAATACCCCCGAGCTCCTCATACCTTCCCCCTCTGCACCTGCACAATCATTGCTGCATGAACCATGACTGGCCTGAGCACAGGACTCTGAACATAAGCAGTATGTCTTATATTTTTATGATTAATGAACTGAAAGCAGTTTGTTGTCTTATTAGGAGCCAATTAAATTCAATGTTTATTAACTTAACTGCATGCAAGGAGTTAGTAGTAGGAGGCTTTATTACTATTCTGTCCATCAGAGTAGTTAGGTTAATTACTCTAATCTAAAATAAGGGGACCTAGGAGGATACAGGGCGGGGTGTGGTGGCTCACGCCAGTAACCCTAGCTCTCTGGGAGGCTGAGGCACGTGGCTTGCTTAACCTCAGCAGTTTGAGATTAGCCTGAGCAAGAGCAAGACTCTGTTTGTACTAAAAATAGAAAAACGAGGGCAGTGCCTTTGGCTCAGAGGAGTAGGGTGCCAGCCCCATATGCCAGAGGTGGCGGATTCAAACCCAGCCCTGGCCAAAAACTGCAAA